TAAAGACGTGGGACTTGAACACGTTGGAGACCGCGCATGTTTTACGTTTCTCGGCCGCCTAGGACTTCAGTGGATTTTTTAAGAGTCTTATTGAGCAAATTGAGAACAAAAACCTATTCAGTGATCTAGACGAAATCTTATTGCATGAAATGGGAAGAAGAAACAAAAGAAAAACCGATTGCTTGTTTCCAAAATAGGGGTCGTAGGGTACCACATATGCATTCGACGCTCTTCTTGTTTTCCGAAATAGAGGGTTTGCAATGCAAACGACGAGTAGCCAACATCGAGGCTACTTCACTGCCCTCTTTCTCCAATAATTATGTAGACAACATCGTGTACTATGCGATGACAATGTTTATACATATCGCTTTAATGATGGTTTTTTGTAAACTCTTTGGAAACATTTCGAAATATAGGCAGTCAATACAAATGATTACGTGTTATCCTGATACAACAGCGAGAAAGAATATATACACCGTCCATTTGGACTCTACGCATTGTTCAGACGAACGAATGGATGCGATAATAATGTGAGTTGCATTAACTGAGTTATTAAAGGACAATCTCACCAAGGAAGGCTCGACATTCGAGGAATTACAGTGTGATTACCTGAAAACACAACTTGAAGCGGTATGAAGATTTGCATGCAGAAGTATGTAGTCAAGTCATATTGTACAACGTGTCTATGGCATGAACAACACGACTGCTCGGACGGGTCCACCGAAATTCTCGGCTTTGACCCTGTCCAACACAAGCATATAGCCCTCTCTTCTTTGCTGGATTCTCCCAAATTTTGTCTTTAGAGCACCCCGGAATCGAGTTCTCAGATTTTGTAAAAAGCCTAGCCTAGCCAGAAACACGCCCTACCCACCATCACCGATTGATCTTCCATTTTCCGTCAGCCTCTGAACTTTTCCCCAATCTTTGGACGGTCTCCGAAACAAAATATAAGGTTTTGTGTCAAGCCCACCCACCTCGACGTACACTCCGCCCACCACAGGATGTGGATTTCCCTCTTACAATAGCCTCATCTTTCTAAGTGGTCACTGGACTGTCTCGAAAACGAAATTCGGACAACAACAGAAAAATAGAAATTCCCGTCTTCGGCACTGCACATTTCGGAATATGCGGCGTCAAACGTGGGCGTATCCGCTAAGCTGATGTGTATCCTTAGTACATCGTGGCCCTGTCCCAGTAATTCTACAACATTTTTCTCACAAGGACCTCAAATAATGCAAGTTTTCGTGACAGGCAAACAAACAGACAAGACCAATCCGATTACATTTAGTAGTACATTATTCCTATACTTTACACAATACATGACAGTCACACATTCGTACATTAGTTCATGGAGGAACGCAACACCAACAAGTGGGATCGTTCAGAGCAAGCCGCGCTTTCCCGGAACGTAAGGTCTTTTATTGACGCAATGCATCGAAGTAAAAAGTAGTGAATGAATGTGTAAAGTACAAAAAAATTACCTGCTCATTTGGCTCTTCTGTGCCCTTTCTCCAGGGACGTGTAGTGAGGTGAGCAATTCAAAGAAGGCAAGCTCTCCAGCGGACCGCTGCGAGAAGCGGGTCTGCAAATAAGGCGTCGGAGCGCCTCGATCTTTTCTCTTGTGCTGCAGGCGCCGCTAAAATTTTAGCCATCACACGATAGTCAACACGGATTCAAATTTGAAACTTCATACAATAGTGACTATTGAGGATTGCAAGGCCTCCGTCAATCAGGGAGTGGGAATACGGATGGAAAAGCATACAGTGTGGTTTTAATACTGGGCCTTTCGAAAGAAATATAGGAAGCAAAGATGCTGTAATAGTTCGCACGTGTGAGAGCTCCCAGACAGCACTACGGAACGCCGAATCGTTTCGTAATTGATAGAAATCTTCAGACTCTTGCCAAGTGCACTACCATAAAATACGTCGATCCTTATGCTTCAAAAAACCTATTTTCACAAGCTCGCAGATCGGTCAACCAAAGACCGGAACACAGGTGCTCTAATAAGTAATTGCAACAATGAATGTCGTTCGACCCATTTGACATAGCGGTTCGTCTTGCCAACCGCGTGCAGATGACTGGTGGTCGTAAAAAATAACAAAATAGTAGCAAGTTCTCGCTTCCTTTCACAGGGCTCCGAACTCATTCCTTTTTCCACAGCGTTTCTTCAGCCACAAACCACAACAGTTTTCTTCTGAGGTTTTATTCCCGTCCCTAATAAAAAATGTGAAATCGCTTGCGTTGACGCTGGCGAGCCGGCGTTCACTTGCGCAGGCCGTGCCAATTGGCAAGAGAATTCCACCAGAACATCAGTCAGTAAGGGAATATTCCTAATTGCCGTATAAAAAGAAAATATTAAAAGCACTACGTCACAAAAAGGTCCAGCAGAGTCGGAAGTGGTAAGTTTGTGGTTCCACCGTCAAAGCCGTGCGCATACTGTACAATTTCAGCCCGACTGCCGCTCATAAGTATACAGAAAACGCAGTTCAAAGTTCGGCCATATTTAGACTGTTTTGTGTTTGAAACACACTCCGTGGGTTGAATCATGAAATTGGCGCATGAATGAGAGTATTCATTCCGATATTCAACACTCAGCTTGAAGCTTAACGAAATTCTAAATTCAACAAAGATCGAATCATAGCTTTAGCGATTTCTGTTGACAAGAACTGCTAACCAATGAGCTGATTGAAGAAGGAACTATAAAAAGCGTGTTATCCAGGAGATGCTCCTGTTCACAAATTTGAGGGCAAAAGTATGATAAAATCCTACTCACCAGGAAATTCAGACTAATAAAACGCTTCTTGTAGAGTGAACCTCTCCTTAAAACTGAAACCTCAGGCAACCACTCGAGAATCATTGCAATCAAGAAGCCAAGAGTAATAACCATTTTTAATCCTAGATGAGATGCACGAGCTGTCGGAAGCAGTTTCTCCAACTGACAGTGCGATGAAGGAAATAAACCTTACACGCATTTACTTCAGGAATCCTTCTATTTTATAAAGCGCTAACTTTGTGTGTCGGTTTGTGTATCTGTATGTGTGTGTGTGTATGTATGTATGTATGTATGTGTGTCCGTCCGCAAAATGAAGTGAGTGAGAAGGAAGCTCATGGGATAAACAAACCGCTAACAAATCGGGTAGCTTACAGGATTTGAGATATCAATGTTTTGTAGCAGGATAGTTGTGATAACACTCTTAGGGCTATATAAACACCTGCTTAGCACACTTCCGTTCATTCCACATGGTGCTGCAGTGGCAGCTGGAGGGCAGTGGAGAGAGGAAGGGAGGATGAGGAAGGGAAGCGAAAAATCTACCGTCATATCATGATTGTGTCCCTTCTACTGTATGAAACACCATTGTGTTGCATACGCGTCACTTCCAGGAGGTGTTGGTGTCACAGGAGGAAGGGACCATAGCGGAGGATAGAAAGCTTGCGCAGGAAAGGAAGGTCCCGGCGGTTGACGGGGGACTAATCTGGTAATAATATAAGACGAGTCACACAACATCACCACAACAGTTGTAAGCTATCATGAAAGTAGCGACAGCTTCGCGGCAGATTCGATCGGCCACTCATTAGAGGAGCTCAATTTCAAAATGAATGAAACTCACGCAAAAGCTAACGGTTCGTTTTCGCGAGGTGGAGAAGGATCGTCGTCGATTGTGATTACCTAAAACGACGTAAAGTAATTGTGTAAAACTTGCAGCTCACTTAAAAATGCATGTTCAATTAATCTCATAATGAGACTCAAACATATTAACAAAATGAGTAAACTAAAAAGTTGAAAAAGGACCAGTGGCGGAGGGCTTGAGGAAGAAGAGAAGACTTGGGCTTCCGGTTCAATCAAGTCAGCCTCCTTTGATGTTGCCGTTGAAGTTGTACCTGTTAGTAGCTTTACAGGGTCATGCACCAGGCTGCGTAGATGAGAAGCTGAATAGATCACAATTGGTAATTACGACTGCATTCTTGGAAAAAGACAAAGATGATAAATGATGAGCCAAGGAAAAATATGGAGGTGGAAGTGAGGTCTGCGAAATGGTCCAACACTGTTATTTTTCCTGCCTTGATCGAGATTGCAATAATTCTAGCAGCAAGAAGTAGAAAAAACATGGCTAAATTATGCAAAGTAATTCCAGCACCAGTCTCAGCGCAGTATATAAATGCCTTTGTCGGGTAATCAACACACTGATGACAGCATGGTGCGCATGCGCATTCACATTTTCACGCGGATTAGGCGCGTTTTGTTCGGTTTATTTGGCTTTCTCATATTCCAAAATTGTCTGTATGCATTATCTTCACCGGAAAACAGTGCACCCACCACTTGTAATGCAATTATTGAAGGAGTTACGAAATTGTGAAAAAATAAACGAAACGCACAAGGGCTGTCGCCAATGTATTAATGCTATCCTTATAATAGTGATAGATATTGCAGGTACAAGGTGCAGTTACTTTTCCAATGCACCGAAGCGGTTCCTGACCTGATGGAAAAACTGAACAGCTCGACTTAATGACAATAATATAGTACCTCCATCTATAAGCGACATGGAACCACTGTCTTCGCTTGTCCTTTCATTGTTCAGGACGTCGTTAAAGGCTTTCGCCTCAGTTTCGATGTAAAACAAGCCTTTCTGAAAAAAAATATAAACAACAGACAGCAAAAAACATGAATACTGATTTTGTGATACACATTATTTCTAGGTTTTAGTTATTCGGCGAACAAATGATATGCTAAAGCAGCTCAA